AATGATAATACCAGTACAGGAATCTATGGGACACAATGAAAGCAGTTCTACAAGGGAAATTCATAGCAGTGAATGCCCATATTAGGAAAACAGAGAGAACTCAAATAAACAACTTAATGCAGAACCTCAAGCTCCTAGAAAAAGAAGAGCATAACAAACCCAAAGCTTGTACAAGAGAAGAAATTATAAAGATCAGAGCAGAAATCAATGCAATAGAGACTAAGAGAATGATTCAAAGAAATCAGTGAATCAAAGAGTTGGTGTTTTGAAAGAATAAATAAAATTAGTAAAGCTTTAGCCAACCTTATCAGAAAAAGGAAAGAAAAGGCTCAAATCCATGCAATTAAAAATGAAAAAGGTGAAGTCATTCTGTCACTCTCATCCTGTGCTTCTGCATGAAACACAAGACTACAGACCAGAGTTAAATCCTCTGTGTGGGACTGGAGGAAGGCAAAATGTGGAAGGGATCATAGAGCTGGAGATCCCTTCTGTGCTCCACAAAGCTGTGAAGGGTCGTGATCCCTGGGACAGGTCTCCAGTCTATGGCAACACTCTTGGGTCAGCTTCGGCTGCCCTTTGGACTACGTAAGTCTGTAAACATGTGCCTGTAACTTTATTCTAAAAACAGAATCATACTTATTAGGAAATTCTGATTTAATAGAAACAAAAAAATAGAGCCAGGAGAATATACTATGTTTGCAAAGTCATGGGTTTTCTTTCTCTCTCAATGAGGGAAAAACAGTTTTATTCCCTGCTTACTGGTCCACCTGGAACTAAAAGGAATATTACTTTCTAATAGGATGTGTCTAGTAGGGGAGAAAGCCACCAAAATAAATATATTTGTTAATAGTTTAAAAAAAAGAAAAGAAAAAGGTGAAGTCACAACAAATGCAGCAGAAATCTAGAGGATCATCAATACCTACTTCGAGAACCTGTACTCTAATAAAATGGAAAACACAGAAGAAATGGATAGATTCCTAGATGAATTGCTAAAGTTAAATGAAGAAGATATAAATTTCTAAACACCCCAATTAAAATAAATGAAATTGAAAATGTAATAAAAAA